CCCTGAAAATTTGAGTTGTTGACAATAAATACATAAGAAGAATTCTCTAACTCTGCTGAGGTTTGTGCCTTTCAGTCCACTGACCAACATATTTTGTTCGGATTTACTCTTTTGAGCTTAATGGGTTCAAGATGGTGTAGTACTGCACTTAAGTTCCCGCAGCAGTCAGTGTGGATGATGGGGGAAATAGGCCTGGAGTGCAAAATTAGTAGTTCACCAATATAACAATCCTGTGCAGTCCTTCATCTAAATAAAAATTGTAGCTAATGATCTTGTACCACATAGTGCTTTGTTCTTGTTGCCGTGCTTCTCCCAGGACTCTGTAGTGCAAGTGATGACTGCTTCCCGGACACGCGCTGAGTGCCCTCAGCCACAGGCGATGTCCCTGAACAGAAAGCATGCTCAGCTTGTCTGTGGAGTGAAGCTTCATTCTGCAAACATGGGCACGACTTGCTGAGCTCAGGACTATGGGATGAGCTGTGATGCAGAAGAGAAGGAAGTGTATGCCCACAGAAAACTGATTGCAGGCTACCCCTGCCCTCACCAGCCCCTTTTCAGCCAGCTTCAGCTGGGGCTCCAGGCCTGGTCCTTCCTAAGTCAAAGCTGAAGCCTACCTCAGGACTGGGCTGAACCTTAGCCAGGAATCCCCACCCTTAGCCCAGATGAAAAATCCCTCAAGGAGAAAACTGATTGAGGACTACACTTTCCCTTGGCTGAAACTTAAATTTAAAAAGCACCCATTCTCCCATCTGGGTATATCACAGGTCAGTTAATAGAGAGCAATGTCTAGATAAGCAGGTAAGAAAACATTCTGAGTAGTTTACAGGAAATTACACATTTTATTTTTCTGAGCAATGGATTGCTGTTATATCTCCTAAATATTTTCAGCCTGTTATGGAAAGTATAGCTGTGTATGGCACTGTCATAAGGGAGGAATTTGTTACTACGTTCTGTTTTATATTCTGGAGCTGTTTAGTCTTAGCTGTGCTGAGTGTTGAGATGCTATACAATTACTTACTTGAACATAGCAGTTTTCTTCCTATTAATGCAATTTTTTGCTCTGTATGTTTTGATGACTTATATTCATGATCTCCAGACTGCTAAAAAGGAGGAATTCAGTTTTGCCTGTCATTAATCACTGTAGTACATAATAACAGATGGCTGTATTCCTAAAATGCCTTTTTCAACAAATAGTATGTGATCCGACATTTCAATGATTTCATTATCCCTATTAATAATTATTATTATCAGGAACTAAGGATGAATCTTCAACTCTATATGATATAAACATTTTGACCTACATTTTCAGGATTGCTAGCAACTCTGGTTGCCTCCGTTTTTCAGTCTATGGAGAAGAGACTTTCAAGATGCAAACTTAGCAACACACATTTGAAGATCAGACTGCTTAAAAGGGTATATGTCAGGCTAGGAAAATTGCTAGTTACTTTTTAAAATTTAGGCCCTCATGACTTTAACTTAGATTTTGTTCAGTTCTGGTATTGGGGTTATTCTTCTGTTATAGTTACTAGAGAAGAAATATAAAATGAAAAAACAGTAACTCACATAGTGCTTCACAAGAGTAAACTGTTGTTATTTCAGGCTTTTGTCGTGGAATATCTGAGATAATTATGACTAAAATGGAGGGGTTCATTTCCTCCCTGTCTCGAGCCACAACCAATTCAAAAGCAGAGAGAAGTACTGAGAGAAAGAGAGAGAACATTTACTCTCTGCACTGACTCTCATTCCACTCCTGTAATATACTGTATTGCTGACCAGAAGGGACTTTGAGGGTCCAAAGGTTATGGGGCTGCAATCAGTATCGGATTTGAGGTCTTCTTTTCAGCTAAGAAACCAGGACTCAATAAGGGTTGAGCTGAGACCAGGTCTGTACTATGGCCTCTTGGGCTGGCAGACCAATTATTGTAGTTTAAATTGCAAAGCAGTCTCCTATTCTAATATTGATACCCCTGTGAAAGATAAGAGTCCGCACATTTTCTTTATTCAGAATAACCTTTAAAATATGAAACAAAGGAATTTACATTAAAAAGATTCCCATTCATGAACCACTTCTCAAATCATTATCTTACTGCCTGACAGTACTAATGAGACCTAACATTCAATTTTTTTTCAAGGTCTTGAAGACAGTGTCCTCATGTATCCCAGAAGGAAATAATCTCTTGTTTAAAAATTAATAAGGAAAAATTAACTTTACTTTTACAGGTGCTGTGTCAACGTCCTCATCTAGCTTTAAAGAATTTCAAAGTCAATCTTTTTAAATTTCATTTTAATGTCTTTTCATCATTGATGGCAAAAGGAAAATAATTATGTAAGAGAAAAAAGTGCCCAGAAACATGCTTTAGAAACATTTAAAACAAGGTTCCTATCAGTGTTTCTTGAAGATGTTGCACATGTACTTAGCAGACAGACACAAATAAGAGGAAGCGAAAGGATGGCATTATGGACACATAATGTGTCCATGCTTCACAAAACTTCAAGTCCATTGTCCATGCTGAGTGTGAAGATACCCGTATGGTGCTGGAAAGACCTCAGGCATAATTTGCTTCCTGAAGACTTATTATTAAGGCAGTCTACCAAACTATAGTAAGTCATAGTGCTGCCATGTATGCTGTATTATGTGCTAGGAATCATTGATTTTGGCTTTATTTTAAATATAGAAACAAAAGGAACAGGAATACCTAAGTCATTAAATTGCAGATGAATCATGCATAAGTAGTTTCAAATGCTGCAGGTTCTGAGTGGTTCTTTCCTTCATTTGAAGAAGGCCCCGGATATGATCTCTTCACTCCACGAGTAAAAGACCTAAGGCACTGCCTGTCAGAGTCCTGTGGATGCAAGAAGCTTAAAGGATTTCAAGGGAGAGTAAGTAAATACTTGGAAGAAAGATGCATTGAGGTTTACTAAACTGGCCCTAAGTTTAAGAACAGTCAGAAGCTAGGAAAATATTATCAGACAGATTTACATATGCTATGCTCACTTTTTTCTTACTCTTCCTTAAGCATGTTTGTAGCCATTACTATTTTATTATAATTATTTCAGTTACGAGCCTGCCTACAAACAATAGAAGTACAATACATGGGCATTTGTAAGTGAAGTCTACATTTTTCGAAGCTCTAGACTGAGTTCCTGTGTGGCCCATCTCCAGTCTGAGGTAAGGAGATCGGTTTGAACTCACAGTGCCAAGACTAGAAACCATTGTGCTTTTCAAGCAGCCATGCCCTGAGGCACTTTGAAACATGATACTAGCCTGGCATCACAGAGGCTTCATTTGCTAGGTGGCCCTGGGGACAGTCCCTGTGGCCACACAGTCACTGAGCCTGTAACTGTTCTCATGTGTTCTGCGCAGGGCTGTTGGCTGGCACTTCCTGCTGCACACTTTTAACAACCTCTTCAAGCAGGGACCTAGGTCAAGTGCTGCATCATCGTCTTCATTTATCCTGCATACTTTTGTGGCCAAGCTGTCAAGGAACTGGTGAAGCTCCGCTTGGTTCTCTGCTTGTGGAGCTCAACTGCCACACTGAGAGCTGCAGGAAGAGCAGTGCCCCGGGAAAGAAGTTGTGTTCCCAGACATGGGGATACCTGCATCCGAAGGCCTGGATGATGTTGTCATTATCATCTGGCAGTGATGACGTCCTCATCATCTGAGACTCCAACAGGAGACGGGGCTAAGTGAGCCCTTGGTCTGTTGCCAGTACCACTGTCCTAATATTTTTGTAATCTCATCTTCTGGTAGGCTTGGCTCTGTCTTTCCTTTCCTCTAGATACTGTATACCAGATACTATATAAGCTCATCAGTTAGGAATCATGCTGCTCTACCAGTTCTCCACATTTTCAATTTTTTTCTCACAGAGCAGAGGCATTTGTTTCCTTTACTCTTTGAAAGTCTCATAAACTCTACTACATCCTACTATTAGCAGGTACAGTCATAGGAATTTAGGAGGGAAACCTTGGAGAAACTTTTATGCAGTATATGCGCCAGAAGGGTCCTATTTAAGGATCATATTCTTCAGATGAGTTTTTTAAATAACAGAAGCTGTAATAAAGAATAAACATGTAGGCAATAGGTCTACCTTTCTTAATTGCCAGAGATCTTATGAAACTGAGAAACAACCAGTAGGATGCATTTTAAAAGTATAAGATATTGTGCAATGTATTCAACTTTTGAAAAACCCTGCAAGTTAGCTGCTGTAACCCAACTACAGGCATTTGGCTTCTTTCTGCTCAAAATGCTTGTTTTATCTTCTATCACATTAACTGGTTTCTAACGTCACAGTAGAAAATGGAGGTTTCTAATTTGAACCTTTCTAGAACAATGGAGTGGTCATCTTAAGTAGTCTTAAAGCCAAGTGAATAGTTTGCAGAAAATAATGCTGTCAGTGGTATGTCATCTCATGCTCTGCAAAAGGCTACAGGCAGCTCCGCAGTTTAACTTATTATTATGTCATGATTTGTTTGGATATCTTTACTAGATCTCTTTGTGGATCTTGACATTCTCTGAGATTTCAATGACAAGAACTTATAATCATGCTTAAGTTTATGCAATTATTCTACTATTATTGCAATGAGAAGAGATGCTTAAAGTATGTAAAGTTAAGCTCATACATAAGTATTTGTAAATTCAAGATATTTTGCAATCTAACAGTTCAGATTAGTTACATATCATTTTGCTTAACTGAGGTTCTAATCCAAAGGTCATTAATTCCTGTTGACTGCTGTGAGCTGCGGCTCTTGGTAAGGAGCTCACAGGCTCTTGCCAGTAAAATTCACCTTCTTGAACAGGCAGAGAGAAACATAATGTAAGTTCTATTTAGGACTCTGAAGGAATGCCTTTGAACAGTTTAGGCTATGTTTTCATTCTTTAGTCAGCAGATCCCACTAAAGAGGTTTCTTTCCATCCATCCCAGCTGTTCATTCCCTTCTCCAAGAATGGTCACTTTTGTCCAAGGAGAAGGTTGCTGAGGGAGGAGAAAATATGAACCCCTTAAACTTGGTCTGCCATCTGCCCAGTGGAGTTTCAGAGCACATCTGAAATTTTTTAGGCAGATACAATTTTAGGTATGACTGATCAACCTTCTGAGACTTCTTGTTTTTATGGAAACAGTAGATCATTTTTTCTAATTTCTTATGTATTACAAGCTATTGTGGTTCACCTGCTTACTCGTACACTTAATGCAGTAAGAGGTATTTGGCTGACATACTTCTGTTGGCAATTTTTTTCAATATTAATCAGTCTGACTTTTGAAAGTCTGTATCTGCTTTGAATTTACGTGACTATAAATGTTTCATTGCCAGGGTTTTTTGTATTCTTATTTACTAAATTAAATTGTCTTTTATTGTTTATCATTTTCTTCCTGTGAAGACTCATATACTTGAAATCAACACGCCTTGAGTCTTTCTTTGGATGAGCTAATCAGACCCATTCTGTTTGAATGGGTCCAGCTGAGCAACAGAGCAAATTACTCTGAATGCCAAGTTCTCACTGTTTTTTATTATTCTAGTAACCTTTGTGGAAAACTTTATCATCAGTAACTGTATATTTATGATCAAAGATGTTGTAAAGAGCCAGACCTAATACTGATCCTGGCAGCATTCTACCAATAAGGTCTCTCTTTAAGGGCGGTTTGCCATAGACAGCTACTTTTTCAAATTTTAGTCAATTATTAATTCACTTACTTTGTGCTTTATTGACATAATTCAATGCTATATTTCTTTTACCTCAGGTAATCAAAAATCCTAAGATAACTGTAAGCACATTATGCCTATGTAGTTTCTTTGTCAACCAAACTCGTAATCTCATCAAAGAATGAATTCCACTTTCTATGACAAGACCTATTTTCCATTAAAACATGTTGGGTTGTTGGCTGGCATTCAATATACGACAATCCTTCACTTATTTATTAATTGAATTCCATACAATACTTTGCATTATTTTGCTCTTGCTAGTATCAGGGAAAAAACTATTAGTCGCTTGGGCTATCCTGCTGGCTGTGTTTAATAAAATATTGTTTTTTATACTTTTTATAAGAAACATTCTGATTTCTTTTCACTGAGACTTTTGCAGTTTTTGCTTCAATTTCAAGGTAATTAAATTCACTTTCTGTCTCCTAAACTCTTGACTGAAATCTGTTCAGCAATGCAAAGCAAAATGCAGTAAAAACATGTTATATCTGACATTGCATAAAAGCCACAAGAAATTGCAAACATTACTCGACCTGCAAGGCAAAACACAAGGTGGCAAGGTTCACCTGAAATGCTGGCAAACACTAAGAAAGCTCTCAGCCACGCTGGCCTATTTTTTTGACTTCTTTATGAAACCCCAAAAGATTCCAATTTCATACTGTCTGGCTTCATTGCAAATGTTTCACTGAACTCTCTTGCTAATTCTCTACGTGTCATTTCCACACTAAGGTTTTTTTTCAGGTTATGGACAGTGCCATCTGCAAAACATCCAGTCCTAAAGCGAATTCATGTAGACCTTGTCTACCTGAAGAAACTGACCATCATAGCGATGCGTTGCAGAACAATTATTATCTTCTCAATGCAGAATAGTATTCTAGAATAAAAATTACTTTTTTTTTCAGAAGACAGTCAGGGAGCAGCACAAACTAGGCCACCTTGCAAGGGCAGGGTGCCAGGAGCCCAAGGCAGCAGTGAGGCTGGCCAGACAGGGGCCTCACCAACCTGTCCCTGTCCCACACTCCCTAGCAAGGCAGGTAGAGCGGGTTGGTGAGGATCAGGATCAGCCAAGAGCCCAGTGATCTCCAGGGAAGGTCACAGTAATGAGGCAGGTCAAACATCTAGATAGCGAGTCAAGTCAGGTCAGGTTTGAGATCAGGAAGGCTCAACATAACGTACATCACTGCTCAGGCAAGGACCAGGGGTGAGGGTTGAGGTTAAAGGCAGCTCCTGAGGCCAGGTGAGGAGACCTCAGATGTGGCTCCTCATAGCCACATAGCCTCTTTTTTCATATGTTGGGTTTTTTCCACAGCAATCTGCTCCGGCGTTACATAGCCACACCACATCAGAGCTGATCACACTGGAGGAGATGAAGACACAAGGCCTGCTGGTGCTCTCAGGGTGCTGACAAGTGCTCACTCAGGGAGCTCTTCTGCAAGTGCAGCCATGGAATATCTTGTTCTGTGATGGACAGTTTCAGTAACAAGGCTGTCCTACGCGGTAGCTGGCTGACATTCTTGTAACATCTTACTTCTGCAACACTATCAATGAAGATGTTTATGTGGAGAACATGATTTTTTTAGGTCAATGCTTGTGGATGTCTAATGTAAGAAGAATGTAATGTGATATGCCTAACTTGCTTGTGTAAAGTGTGTGGCTGTGTCACTGGATTTTGCCTGAAGCAATGGTCCTGCGACAGAATCCTGAGTGTCTCATCTAACAGTTTGCCAGAACATATATTGCTAAGCATAAGTTTGACTGGGACTTTGAAATTTCACTAAATTTGCTGAATTTATTTTCTTAAGGCTTCTCAGCAGCCTCATTCTTATGTGAAAAAGAAATGGCAGTACATAACATGCTTCCATTAACAAGTTAAAAATCCTCCTTTCTTTCTCAGTGGAAGAAGATGACAACTTCTGGAAATTAATTCTCTACTAAAAAGAAAGACTTCTAAATACAATTTTATATCATAAAAGGATTTCTTAGAGACACACCTGGGATACGTTCAAGCCATTGTGAATGATCCAGTTGTCAAAACTTAACAAGTTACTACTTGTCATCTGAGCTACAATAATGGCTCATCTGCACGCTGCTTGTCCTTGCAAAAACAAAGTAAAACCAAAAAGGAAGTTCATGCTAATAGAATTAATTTCGCAAAGTGTGTCAGGCTAGCAGCTCACATAGAACCATTTACTGTAGATATCTGATAAGCAATAATTTACCAACTTGTGGTAACTGAATTGGTTGTGATTGTACGAACATATGCTATTATGTGCATTTGGTTTTATTTGTGCATTGGAGTATTATTCTAGATTCTGTAAGGAGACTTTGAGACAACCTAATTATTCAAAAGCTTCTGAACATGAGAGTTCAAAATTGCTTTGACATATTGGTCCTTCCAGATTCACATTTTACTGTGGTTAAAGTACTCGTACCAATTAAGATTCAGGAATATGTTATAAAGCTTAGTGATCTCAAATTCAGGTGTTTTTTCTCTACTCGTTAAACTACTTGAACAAGCAGTGCTTTTGTGTGTTAATAGTAAATATTTTAAGCAGCAGATTAGTTTTAACTCCATCAACTCTGAAACATTTGATTTTCTAGCAATGCCTTTTTAAATGCTTTTAGCAAAAAACCACACAAACACCTACTGAAGTATGTTAGAAAGGTTCTAAATGCATGTGAATTGCTCATTTGCCTTTCCTAATGCCCTATCTCTTTGCTTAAATGGACTAGATATAAGCTTGTTTGTTTACTTAGATAGACATGTGCTGAAATCTTGAAATTTGACTCCATCGAGGTGAGAGCTTCTAAACACTAAAGAATCAACATTCTTATAGGCAGCTTTCACGGTTCATGTATCTCCAATTAAAGAGGAGTAGAACACTTTAAAAGCAGGTTATTCAGTGAAGACCAAAAACAGTTCCTGAAAAATAAATATCTTACAGATGCTTGCATTGGGATGCTGAAGAGTCAATACCTTTGCCTCATTACTCTGTTCAGAATTCAAATTGAGTTTATCATATTTAAGAACAGTAATATAAGATGTCATTCCTAAATAGCACTCACTTTTATCTGCCTTTCTTCCTTTTTTTTTTCCTACTTAGAAACCCTAAAGCTAAGATAATACAACAATAATGTTCCTAATAATATTGTTCCTGGCTGCAATAGATAAACAGTGATATAACCTCTTTAGAACAGCTGTGTTGTACCTCTGACAGTGTTAGATCCAATTCTAACAGCTTAAATACATGTCTCTTTCTTGTTGTGTATATATGTGTGCATATATACATACACTCACAAACCTATGTGACAACACATATTAACTGAGATACCATTCTCCCTCTCTCTGTACATCTATATCTAAATATATTTATATACACATATGCATAGAGTAAAAGGCATGCATGAATACATACATTCCCTCCACACACACAACTATGCTAAAATTGAGATAATGCTGATAAGATCACATATCATCACCAGTACAAACTCACGAATAAGTAGTTAGTTAAAATGTTCAACACCTCATCAGTTGTCTGCTTACCCACTGTTTCTCTTTTCCCTTCTACTGCCAATAGCTCACAAATCTATTTGAAGCTTGACCCACGCCTTAAAAGCTTTGACTTCATAACTGTAGAGTTAGTAGGTGTGATTTTTTTTAATAATATAGACCATAAACAATTACTTATTTTCCAAAGATCTGTGCTTGTTTCTCTGTGGATAAAGCTGAGTAGGAGCTAAATAGTTTGCCTCTGT